TTTTATTAAACTTTCACTATGGGTGCGGTATTCACGCGATACAATCTCTGGCCCCTCTATCCAGGAAGCTTTTAGAGCTTTTGGCGGCAGGTATGGTGTTACATCGAATTCAAACCACAGAGAAATCACAGAAACTATTTTTATCGTGAACTGTGCCTTTGAGTTAAATCACTCTATGTTGCACGATCCGTTTTTATCCTCTCACATAGGACTTATCAATTTTTTCCGGATGCCATAATATATCGCAGAGAACGCTCTGTTTTCATTGTTTCAAAAGTAAAGTTTTATGAGAGCTTTTGTGATGGTTTACAGAAAACGAAGCTCCGGGGCTGTTTGGTTTGGCCTACCAGCTCAGAACAAAACAATCGAAGCAAAGTGGTAAAGCACATACTTAGTTTTGTATCCGATTTGAGAGAATGTGCGGTAGCACACATGAATGGAGAAGTAAATGTGTATTCCCATAATTGCTAGACGCTGACTTCTAGCTCTAATCTTTGAGGCTGTTTTTATTTTTGCTGAACAGCAAGCTGTAGGTAATTTTTCTCACGTCAGCGTCTTCTCTTCAAAAACTGTAGTTTCTGGGGGTCGACTCCTTCGAGCTGGGGGCAACCTTATCACAGCGTTGCAACTTTGAACCACGAAATAGGCGCAGTCATTTTTAATAGATTAGACCTGCCCACATGAAACAAAGGGAATCTGATTCCTCTCGAATGATGGTGTCCTCACCTGATGCCATAGTAGACAAAGAAATTAACGGAGATTGCCACATTGATAAGCAGCCCAGCGATTAGATCCAGGTATGGTGTCGAATTAAGATGTAGTACACCTTTTATAGAAAGTATGACTAGTGTGCTGATATATCCAATCACGACTGAGAGACTAATAACAACAACAGAGCGATAGATGCTTTTCGTCTTCTCACTCCCTGAAAAGAAAGGATGTAGAGGGAAGTAAAACACGGATGAAGTTGGGATGATAAGGCTCACTGAGACGAAGCTTCTTCAAGAGGTATATGAAGGATGCATTGCATAGCACAATTAGGATGCACACGGCTATAATTAGCTTTGAAAATACGTTGTGGATTTGGCCTTGCATAGGTGCAGTGAGTGAACATATAACCTTTCTGCAATACAAGTAATACTGTTGATCAATCGTAATCGCAAACCTACATAGAACCCAATCGTATGCTTCATGTAAGACTTCGATTACTGACTATCATATTTAAATACGGACAAAGCTTTTAGAAATGAAGAAGAAACATTGATACTAAAATTGACTTACTCTGCGTGCTTCTGATTTCGCAAAACGACCACGTCCAAGGCAATTCCGAGTATGCACCCCGGCAGAGTGTGTACAACGATATAAAATCTCGAATGGGAAGCTATCATGGGTTTGCTAAAGAAAAAATTTCTGATAAGAATATACTTCAGTTAAACTGAGTTAATCCGGGAGCAATGTGATCACCCTATAGATCTACCTTTCGTAGAAGAGAATTTTCGAAAAAACTCACTAAAATCTCATTAAAGAAAATAGTCGGTCCATTGCGATCCCAAGCAAAAACAAAGGCGATGTACTTGATGCAAACAATGGTGCCAGTTGAAGATATGCGCACTGAGGCTGAGGAATCAAATCACTTTGAACACTGTAAATGCAAATTTAAGAAAACAAAGGTTCGCGTCGTAAGTGTTCTGTGAGAGCGAGCCTCAGAAGAAGCCAATGTCGCCAGATTAGTTTACTTTGAGTAGCCCACAAATGAATTGGTCCAATTCTTCCCAAGTACATGCGCCCACAAAAAGGATCATAATCTTTTTATTCTACTCAGCTGATAGCCTATTTGTTCATATCACATTTGTATGAACTTTTTTCCATTGTCTTCGTGACTTTTGACATTTTACTCAGTGTGAATTTGGAGGAAAACCCACATATTGTGAACGATGGTTGTTATGAGAATGGACGAGACCATCACCATATCGCTGAGGGATACCAGAGCAATGAGTATGTTGCATGGACTTCGTAATGCTCTGAAGGAGAACAGGTAAGAACGGTTACGTATCTACAGCGTGTAAACATTATTTCTTGAGTTTTCTTTCACAAAGTGCTCACCTCGAACGTAATGTTGCATAAACGATGGCTCCATTTCCTAATAAACTAATTATACAGATCGAATTAGATAACAATTGATTGAGGAGTGGTTTGCTACTTGGATACATCTTAAATGCGTGTTTTACTATAAAAGTGACGTAATGAAATTTTGCGTTGGAAATGTACATGCACGAATCGTGTTTGAAGTAAGACAAGAGTTGGGAAAGTCGAGGTCCAGCTAGAGCAAAGGAAATGTATTGCTCACCAGGAAAATCTGTCGTAAATGGGTGAAGACGCTTATTGGTGCTACTTGTGTAGTTCAGGTTAGTACTAAACACAAATATGTACATTCCGATGATGACAAGGCGTTGGACGATTAAGAGATTAGGGAGCGGTAATCTAGACTACGATACTTTTGTAGTGGCGCGATCATAGCTCATACCAATTTTCTTCCCGTCTATCGCGATTGGTAGTGAACCCACAACAAAAATTCAGCCACTATCAGTCCTTATTTACAAATATCATTCCCATTCTTTGGAAAATTCAGTCTAGCGGCCCACCTTTTGTGCTTTGCAAACAATCCTTTTCTATGTGATTGAGCAGGTCCCACTTGCTCAGTAAGTCGGGACCATACTCTCACGCAAAGACGACAACCACCAAAGACTTGCTTGTAAAGAGCGCAATCCTACATCAATATGTACATAGACGCCATTAGTGAGGTGGTTAGTTCAGCACTGCAACATCGCATCTTGTCACATGAAGCCTCAGAACGTTTCCAAATTTCTTATATCTTGCCTTGGCAAGGGATCTAAACATGGCAACACGAAAAGAATTGAGTATAATCAACCTAGTTCTCACTGCTAAAGGTAACGCCCCTCGTATCGTCAGAGAGGGAAGTGGAAAAGACGATAATCGGTCGGTATAACATCCTAGAGCGGATGCTAGAAGTCCTCCTCCTATAGCGTTTTTGAAGTGCGATTTTGCCGCATTATGGGGCCTAGCACTGTCGTAAAAGAGCTTGCTTATTTTTAACGATGACCTCTTTTCACTCGCATGACTCTTTCACGCAGTGTAGAAGGGCTATGTAGAACCTTCTGGTGACCGTGACATCCCTTCAAAGCATGTCCTCTCGGGGTTGCTTTTTTCTACTCCCTCCGTCGAATTGAGGAGACTTCCTGCCATTTTTGTATTTTGCAAGCCATTTTCGAGCTGCAGATTCGCCGACATCTTCTTCGTATCCGTTACAAATGCCTGAGGCTCCAGCAGTTTTTTTTGGCTTCGATGGGAACCGCAGAAAAGCAGGCGTTGAAATGTTGTATTTTACCTCCTCGGTATCCCATTTCTAGGCCTGAGGATTGATAAAAGTTAGATTACCGGAGAAGAGATTGATAGCGATCGTGCAGCAGAAAGAGCTTTATCAAACGAACAGAGCGCATTTTGCAAACAACAAAAATATTTTCGTAATATCAGGCAAATAAATACAAGAGCTTTACGAATTCATTTCCCAACCTAATAAATTGAATGAAGTCAGGTGGGTTGAAATGTTGACTGCTTACAATTAGAGAAAAAACCTGCATGTTCCGGAAATCCTCTTCTTGTAAGACTTTGCTCAGATGGAAAGTCGCACTAGACAAAAGCTACCGGGAGAGAAAGATGTAATTCTGATAGCCCAGAGGAAGAAAAATAAAATAATCAAAGCCAAAGGGTGAAAATAATTCTAGCAATTGCTCTATGAAGACTGGCTATACAGGAAGTTTTTGAACAATCCATCAAACGAATTAACGATGGCACGTGATAGCTTGAATCTCAACAACTTGTTTCCCTTCCTCGTTTCTAACCCAACTCGCCCTGGAAAATTTGAGCCAATGGCCAGCTTAGAATTGTTGTACTGGGTGTGAAACAAATAATATCAAACAAAATCCTTCAGACAAGATATACCGGCCAAACTTCCGCATTCTGTTTGCATTACCCATATATGTAGTAGAAGTTTCAATGTTTATGTTATCATTATCAACCCACGAAAACAATTTTGTGCGTCTAGCTTGAAAAATACGGTAATTTTCACTGCTGTCATAATCGATGCGTAAACAAGTCATTATTCCGCATCACAAATATTATGTAACAGGTATGTAAAACTAAAGAAAAAAGTTTGTTCCGCATTAGACTTTAACTTGAAACCATAGCGGCACATGAAGTTTGATAGTGTACTTTTAATTTGGCAGCTGACATTTAACTTTCCATGAGCTCATTCTGAAAGGCTTTTAGGTATCTGAATGTTTGTCCGAATGCCCTTCCAACCTGTAAGAGCAGTTCGACAGCTTCTGATAAGTGCTGTACTCAAACCCTCAATCCCTTCCTATGAGCTATTTGATGTTGCTACTCGTGCTACGATTCTTCATACGCTACTCTTTTTTTCTAGTTTTTCCAAATTTTTTGGCTCTCTTGTAGCTGGTTTTACATATTTCAATGTCTTCTACGATGCGATGTCTTCTAAAAATGATGTAACGTCTTGTACCAGTCCCACATTACATACCTTTCTTCGATCTTTATGAAATCATGAAAACGATGGAACAGAACCGAGTTGTAGAAGTTTGGGTGGTCACAGCGCATGGATTGGGATGGTCAACGGTTACTGAGCGGGAAAATGCTTATAAGAGTTAGCTACTCGAAGCAGGTCGTCGTTCTTACATTGTTCTTTTGATAAGTTTCTCCTTCTCACGCATTTATTGTTTCTAAACTGATCTCGGCCTCTCAGAACTAGATTGTCTTAATGATTTGATCTATTGATTGTTGATGTTTATTAACGTAAAGTTTAGTTACCCACGTTTGAGGCGTCTACCACCGAAGGAGTATATGGGGCATAGAGGTCGCGGACTGTTCGAACTTGAGGACAAATAGGAGCAACACTTCGAGGACAACTACGAGCGAAGACGAAAGGACTGTCGAGGACCCGTACCCAAGGACATTGACACCGCTTGAGCCCAGCCCAGAGCTGGAGAGGTCTCCGGCAAATAGACGAAGCAGAAAAGGAGCTCCATGGAGTCCAAAAGGAGACCCTTGAGGTAAATCTTTTCATCGAGAAGACATGGCAGAAGGACGGTAGCACGGACGCCACCGACCATCTGAAAGTTAAGCGACGACGCCTCCAATCGAAGGAATCGAGATTGGAAGAAGAGATGAGAAACCTGGAATTGCGATTGGAGCGAGAAAGGAGCAGACACCGCGACGCCGAGGAGAAACCCTACTCGGGAGGACGGGTTCACTCGCCGGAGGAGCGAATAGAAAGAAACGTAAGCCGAGAGACGGAACGAACGCGACGACGACGAAGGGAGGTCCGTGGGCAAGATTCCGCGACTTCATGCCACCGGGACAAAACTAGGGATGGCTTTCCGACGACGGCGAGGCCGGGAGTTTAGAGGTTCGGGTGGTTAAAGCGCATGAATTGGGATGGTCAGCGGTTGTTGCGCGGGAAACCGCTTATAAAAAGGAGCTACCTGAAGCAGGACGCCATTCTCACATTGTTCGTTTGATTAGTTTCTTCTTCTCACGCATTTATTGTATCTTGAGTATCTCGGCCTCTCAGAACTAGATTGTTATAATGATTTGATTTATTGATTGTTAATGTTTCTTAACATAAAGTTTGATGACCCGAGTTTGTGGTGTCGACCACCGAACGAATATACGAGTGGAGGGGCAGAAAAATGTTTCAGTGGGCCAAATACAGGCTCAAAAAATTAAGAAGCAGAGCATGTGTTCCGCTACTTTCCAAACATTCTAATACAAGAATTTATTTTTAAAAAATCACTGGTTTAAATATTACAATGTGCCTAACCGATTCACCGCATAGCGTGGGAGCTTCGCGATGCGCAGTGTATTAGCACTACAATAGAATAGTTATTTTTAGCTGGAGACACTAGTAACCAGACATCACTGAAAGACTTTGAACATTGTTCTTTGGATTGGAAATGAAAGATATAAACGGGAGTAGAAAGGGTTTCCAGTAATTGGTCAGTCCACGAACCATCATTAGGTGATGACGAACGTACGCTCGAATCTCCATCTTGTGAAGCGATTTCATGATTCACTGGGCCCTCTTTTACATAAGCTCACAAGATTAGCTGGGTTATTTCAAATCTTTCACCATGGAACACCACGACTTCCATATTTTTTATTTGCTTACACGAATCCTCTATTTTAGGATTCGAGGTCGTTGAAGAGGTTTTGTTGGACCGCGAACTACACACAATGACGGTGGCTTCAACCCAGTGAACGAGGCGCATTTACAGTTTTAGAAATCACAGATCTTTGCCAGATCTTTGCAAATTTTCATGGAATACAGATTACACTCGCTCACAAAAATTCCCAGATGTTCTGAGAGAAAGATTAGTTGATGCTCAAAAAGTTTTAAAGGCTTAGCTTCAAATCAGTGGTCTTCGGGTTCTCCGAAACCTAGAACTTCTCAGTCAAATTCTGCATTGGACACATCCTGACTTTGTTGCCCTTTGAAGGACACTGGGAAACTGCATCGCACACAGTTCCGGCAAGGTTCAACTCAAACGATAGCTTTCCACAAAGCCGTTTTTTAGGTGTGCAAGTTACCACCCATCCCGATGAAGACAGGTAGGACCATGCTACTGTCCGAGGAGCGATACATATAGAACGCCAGCGGCTGTTGCCCGGAATAAATAAAAAAATCCACTTCAATCATTCTCAAAAAGGCCGGCAAAGCATTAGCTCGAGGTTACCAACGATTGGAACAGTGGTGTGGGGGAAATTCAGAATGACAGATCTGATGACAGAGGTGTTTACTCAGGTTCTATCTAGCCTATCAAAATGATCTGCTCTGTAGGTAAGAAGCCCTGAACCTTTTTCACAATCAAAATCTCACCTCTCCACTGAGCTGTCATCATTGTCAAAAGGCGGACCTATAGAGCTACACCCAAACCTTTCAGTTTATGAAAAAGGTCTAGTTTGAGTGGGAAGACTTGGTAGTGAAAGTCGGCTCTCTTCCCCTCGCAGAAGACATTTTCGAATGCTAATGGAAACGAAGGAGTGCTCGATGAATGTGACTGCTCTTATGTTATGATAGGTTTGCAACTGAACCTAACAGAGACATCTTGTCTGGGCGAGTAATTTCATAAATTTGATTCCACCCTTTCAAGCTCCGACGAAGGTGGTTTAACCGAAACGTTCGCCATTAAGGTTTTGTAATCTTGTGTGCAGTTGTAAAAATGAAGTCAGTTCGACAATATGCTTACGTCCATCGAGAGCCGTACGTGGAGAAATGGACTAGCTCTGGATAGTCATTTAATGAATATAGTCAAACACCACCTGACAAGTAGTCAGAGTAGCTGTGCCGACATTGTCAGTCAGCATGCTGTGGAAAGTTAACGCTGCAAGTTTTCTGCAACCCATAGTGTAGAGGAAGCAGAGTTTCGTAGTAGCTAGCACACGCCAGGGAATGGATCATCAGATGGGTCAGGCACACAGGCACGTGTGAAGTATTAAAACCCAGTGGTTTTGACAAATCTCTGGGGCGTCAAAAGAACAGCCGCCCAACTAAATTTAAGAAGTGTTCACCGAAGCTTTGAACAAGAGGACTGGATAACAGGGTCTCCCCGTAGTACAGAGTATTCACTGAGCCACACGTATAGGACGTCAGCGAAGATCTTGCTAAAGTCCCTCTTTCACTGTTCGAGAGGAAAGCGAACGCCAATGAATCAGAGACTGGGATATTGTCGGAATACTTTTTACTTGTTGATGTTTCCAGTTAATGGATGATCCTTTTCAGCTCGAGCATCATGCTCACTACTATCTGCTCTTTACCATTTGTTTCGCTGTGAACAGCACCCCCAAATCAAGAGCACACATGTTGCTTCTCAAAGTGTCTCCATAACATCTGTTGTGCTCAAATTCACCCATAAATGTTCAAGAACTCAATCGAAATCGTTCTTATAAATCACTTTGGTAGACAAAAAGTTTTACGCTCAGCGATGTAAAAAATTAATGTGATGCTTTCACATTTATATTCATATTCATACTTAATTGTATACTGACTAAAATTCATAGCTCAGTATTTTTTGTTATTGTTTCGGACTCGAAAAAAAGCTATCTAAGACAGGCGAAACTAAGACAAGACTAGGCTTTTAGGTCCTTCAAAGTTCGTTCAATGTATCACCTCCTATTCTGGCAGAGATATTTAGAACTCAACAAATGCAGAACTATGTTTCCGAGAAGAAAAGAATGTTCAGTAAACACGGGCGACAGAAGTTCTCACACACCATTTTCACCCACCCGTATGGAGCTACATATGTATATCGAGTTTGTGAGACCCCAACAATGTCATCTACTCTTGCAACAGTTCCTGGAAGAATTTGCAAATGGCGCGTTCCTATTTTCCGAAGGAAAGAATAGAGGAGCACATTCATCCCCTTGGAAAGAGCATTGGATGGATTATCAGGAGAGAAATACTTTGTAGAGAAATTGATGTCGAATGGGTAAAAGTTTGAGTAGAAGGAAATTCCACGGCCCCCTATCTACACTTCGAAACTTCTATTCTTGCGAGACATCTGAAAAAAAGTAGTAATTTTCAGTGGTTTGTTGGTGCAACTTGGAATATGCTTTTGAAAATCTTTTCCAATTTTCGATTGCATTCTCATCAGGTAATAAATTTCTCCAACACTGGTGGTGATATTTTCTACTACAGTTTGAGTACCGTGCAAACATATAAGTGGTCCTATTTGACACTCATGCTCTTTAATCTTATCCCAAATCCATGAATTGGATCAAAGCAGGTGCCCAAATCAACGAATTTGATATTATTGATGAGGGTAAATCAGTGATCTCATTACCAGAGCTTTATTTATATGATAATGTACTGACACAAACAATGAATAGCAAAATGAATAAGAACTAGTCCAAGCGAGTAACGTCAATTTGGATCGGCGAGCGATTCGGCAATGGAGCACTCGTCTGTTGAGCAGTACTAAGCTTATTACCCTTCAATGCAGCTTTGATGTGACCAATTCCGAGGAGTTTGTCGAATATTGCACGATACTCTTTGCTGAAAGATTTCACTGCCATCAAACTACCACAGAATTATTTTTAAATTGAACTGAATTTTTTTTCGGTATGTTTCTCCTGAAACAGAGAGGTAGAGATATTTGCATACTCCACTTAGCTCTGGCTATTTTGATTTTCTAGATAACAAGACTATTGAAGTTGCTCAAGGTTTTGCTTTATTCAGTTGTGCATATGAGACCCACTGGAACAATCTTGAAAGTACAATTGCTGGGGCTGAAGTCTTGCTTCATTTCTCGCACTTAACCTAGTCTATCAATTGAATTTTGGGTAAGGGAGATAGTTTGTCCTGCTACCCCACCTTAACTTCTTATTGCTACAATAGAACCTGACATCAGAGATATGGACGCCAACGATGGAGAAAGGACAGTGTCATCAAAGTCGACAAACTGAAGCTAGAAAGCTGCGTGGGTGATCAGGCTCTCTCATGATAATTCAAAAAATCGCTTGTATGCTTTCTAGTTTTCTCTTATCGTGTATATGTCGGCGATGTGGAACTGGAGGCTGCAAGCTATTCTCCTCACTTCAATTCGTTCCTCCAAAGTCTGACAGCTCTTAACGTTGGTCTCCTCGTGCAAATAGGCACCGTCACCTACGACTATTCCGCAGCTATAAGTCAGAAGATGAGAGGAACCTTGTTTGAAGGTTGAACATGTCGACAAAGAAATCTTTGAAATTTGGCATTCCCCGATACTCACTGTTGTTCCTACCTTATGCCATAGTAGACGAAGAAATTCACAGAGATTGATATATTAATAAGTAGCCCAGCAAACTGATCCAGATATGGTGTCGACCTAAGTTGCAGTACACCTTTTATAGAAAGTATAGCTAGTGTGCTGATATATCCAATCACGACTGAGAGGCTAATAACAACAACGGAACGGTACATGCTTTTCGTCCTTTCACCCTCTGGAACAAATTGATTGACAATGTAAAACACAATGAATAAACTTCAGATTCCATACTGAACACAGGCATGCTAGGTCAAATTATGGCAAATTCCGGATGGAACTGCTTACTCAAGTTGAGCTTCTTCAGAAGGACCATGAAGGACGCATTGCATAGCACAATTACAATGCACACGGCTATGATCAATTTCGAGAATACGTCGTTGATTGGGCCTCGTATAGGCGCAGTCAATGAGCATAAAACTTCTCTGAAATACAAAAATATTGATGATCAACGGTAATTGCAAACATCATCTAGTACTCAACCGTACTAGATGCTCTTTGCGATTAATACAGTAATTTTCATTTAAAACTACGATTATTGACTAATTAATAGAAATGCGAGCGAAACCCATAATGATGAAGAAAAAACACTGATATGAAATGAACTTACTCGTCGTACTTCTGATTTGTCAAAGCCAACACGTCCAAGGCAGTCCCAAGTATGCATCCTGGCAGAATATGTGCAATGATGTACGATTTTGAGTGGGAAGCTATCAGAGGTTTGCTGAAGATACGACAATTGATTTAACTATTAGCACTTCCTTTTGGAATTGTTCCAATTTCTCTTCGCTCTTTATCCTGGATTCAAGAGAGTAGAAACAGTAGAACGATAACTTTCACCAACACAGAGAACGTATTTCTAGCATTCTCTTTTCAATAAGGGGCCCAACTTAATTCTTAGTTTGTTGCTGTGTTGGTCACTGTCGGAGGTCAGCTTTAATGAGCATCTCTGCAGCACCTACCTCTTATTGAGCACTCCCATATGTAATTATTCCAGCTTCTTTTTGCTCCTTACCTCGCCAAGCCTTACATTATATCTCTTCTGTGAGATCCCTTTTCTGCTCTACCGAGGATGTCAACGGTTCTAACTCTCAATTCGATTTCAATGGTACACGATTAGCCACAAGGTCTCGTGACTCGAGAACTGAGGAACGAATTGGACCAGGGAAGGGCTCCTGAGTAGGCCTTGCTCAACTTCCCCGTTGGGTTTATCTAATTGACGAAATAAAGTATTATCTACTTACTCTGGCAGTTAAATACTGGCGTAAAGGAACACTTTTCCCGAAGTAAACAAGTAAAATAAGATCACTCTATAGAATCTACCGTTCGTAAAAAAAGATCATTGAAAAACTCACTAAAATCTCATCAAAGAAAATAGTCGGTCCATCGCAATCCCAAGCAAAAACAATGGAGATGTACTTGATGCAAACAATGGTGCCAGTTGAAGGTAACCACAGGAAGGTTGAGAAATCAAATCACTTTGAACACTGTAAAGGCAAACTTAAGAAAACAAGGGTTGCGTGTGCATAGAACAATTGTGAAAAGTCTTTTCCGAAATGTTCTATGACGGCGCCGACTCCTTCCACAGAAGGAGCCAATGTCGCCATCGTAGTTTACTTTTCTTAATGACTTTTCGAGATGCTCAGTAACTTTTCACGAAAACCAACATATTGTGAACGATGGTGGTTATGAGAATGGACGAGATCATCACCATGTCGCTGAGGGATACCAGAGCAATGAGTATGTTGCATGGACTTCGCAATGCTCTGAAGAAGAACAGCTAAGAACAATTACGTATCTACAGCGTATTCGTAATAATCGTAATTATTTGAGGTTTTCTTTCCAAAACGCTCACCTCGAACGTAATGTTGCATAAACAATGGCTCCATTTCCTAATAAACTAATTATACAGACCGAATTACCCAACAACTGGTTAAGGAATGGTTTGGTCGGGTACATTCTGAAATGAGTGATTAACCATAAAAGTGGGCGTAACGAAGTTTCGCGTCGGGAATGTACAAACACAAGTCATACTTTGGAGTGAGAGCAGAGCTGGGAAAGTGAAGATCCGAGGAATCCAAGAGCAAAGGAATTGTATCATTTACCAGAAAAATCCGATGTATGTGGGAGAAACGGATGTTGGTACTACTTGTGTATTCAGTTTATTGCTGAATACATTCCGATGATGACAAGACGTTGGATGATTGAGTCGATTGGGGAGCGGCAATTCAGACTACGATAGCTTTGGAGGGGCATGATTAGTTGTTCATGTCAATTTTTTTGGCGTCTACCACGATTGTTAGCACTGCACCCACTACGTGAGTCACCAAAATTTTAATTAAGCAGTATCAGGCATTTTTGCAGTTCCAAAACATCATTTCCATTTTTAGCAAAATTCCAGTCCAGCTGCCCATCCTTTCGTATTTTGCAGCAATTCATTCCTTTGCAATTGAGCAGGTGCCCCATCAACATACGTCAGGGCCGTATTCTTAATTCAAAATGACGATATTCCTAGAATAGCTTCTTATGCGCACAACCCTAAATACATAGACGCCCTTAGCCTGACCAACAGGGCAACATCTTTCTACATGAAACCTAATACCTGTAAGAGGGGTCTCTGAAAATCTTATTTCGCACTTTGCCAATGGATGCTGCAAGTGACAAAACGAGCAGAAATGGCTATAATCGACCCAGCCGAACTAGGAAGGAAGGTCGAAATACCGTCAAAATCTTGCAGAAACATAGTACACAAAATGAAACATTTTGAGGCAGTACCGAGAAGCATATCAGTTCTATATCATTCACCGATTGCTCCACCGATTCTTGAGCGCTGAGCAAGCTGAGAGAAGATACCTAAGAATTGAAAAATCCCACCCTGTCCTACGCTAAAAAACGTGAAGGATTCAGCTTTTTAGGAAGGAGATTTCGGGGAATGCAACAAAGTATCTTTTGGACGCTTTCAAAATTGCAATGCAAAAGGAAGGATGGGAGGTCTGAATCCTACGTGAAAAGAGAGGAAAGAGGCGAAGTAAAATATCCTTTAAGGAGTAATAAGTACTCGAAAAATAAGTAGTGAAAACGATGTACCAGGAAGAGGAATAAGTTCGTAAATTTTTTTGGAACTGTTTTGTTGAAAATAAATTATTAATTATATCAGTCGGCTGATCGGCAATGCTGTTTACAACCCTCCCCACCTTGAGAGTGGTTTTCTGAAGCCGTTCCGGAAAAAATCGCTCAGACTAGTATTCAACAAGCTGCTGAGCCAGTTTCTGAGGTTCTCTTCTTAATCAAGGGTAAAACCTCCCATATGGTCCCAGGGAGAGCGGAGTAAGCCTCCGAGATTGGTAACAATCTTCATTCACGACTAAGGTTTCGACGAGTTCTTCGAGTCTGTATACGGGTGGAGTACAATCGCCCCCTGACGTCAGTCACTAAGCCTCTTTCATGTGGTGTGGTCGGATTTTGTTGGTGACATTCCTATAGAACATGTCCGATCAAATTCCTTGTCGAGTTCAGAAAAGCTACTATTGCGGAAAGGTTGGCCGACGTCCAAAGCGCCATACTTGAGTTCATCGGATCATTTCCGTGCCCTAGACTCTCCTATAACATCTACTCTGTAGACGTCGCAAAAGTCCCAAGCTGTTAGAAGTTTTCTGGCCTCGATCAAAAGAGAAGAAAAACAGGTGTCACAATGTTTTTTACTTTTCAGATATTCCATTTCTGGCCTATAAAGTAATTACAAAGTAAATTATGAAAAAGGAAGAATACCGAATTGTAGAACGAAGGAGCTACATTGAGTAACGAGTTAAAATCCTGCGAAAAGCAAAAATAAAGCCCACAAGCATAAAGTTTTGGGGCGTTAACCATCCCGTCTGAGAGATGCGCTCACGCATTCGACTTCTATTCAGAATCGTAGTGGCGTATTAAATGCGTATGTGGCTTATGCAATGACTTGCGATGATCAGCCGCTGTACAAGTCGATGCTTTTATCTTTCCACACGGATCTGGTACCAATTAATCGACCTCGGAAGGAATGGAATGTTGGGTTGGCGTAGGAGGGAACCGTTCCGTGATTCAAACCCGTGACCGTGCGTGGGTAAAGTGTGCTTCTTACCACTACGCCACCTCCGCCCCAGAAAAAATAATCTCGCAGAATCAAGCAAATGAGAAGCCTTTACGAACTTCTCATCCAACCCAATAAACTGGATAAAGTTAGGTGATGATAATAAACGTGGAAAGACTGAGCTTCAATTTTAGGAGAAAATCTTGAATGTTCTGGAAATCCTCTTCAAAGAACGTTCTTGTTCAACGATCTTATTTGAATGTTATGGAAAGTAGCACTTAACAAAGCTACCGAGGTAGAAAGGTGTGCTTCTGAGAGTGTCAGAAGATCAGAAAAAGAAAATGAACAGAGCAGGGTCAAAAGTGCTTTATGAAAACTGAGTGCTGGGGAAGATTTCAAAATATCCATCGAACGAGTTTGTAAAACCACGGCCTAGTATGAATTTCACAAATTCGTTTTCCTCTTCAACCCTCCCCACCCGACAACCCTAAACGATACATGAATTAATTTTCAATCAAAACGGTTATTAATGTCGCAAATGTCCACCTTGGCATCTTGAAGCTTTTCAAATATGAACCAATGAACGGCTTGAGAATTTGTGGTGAGGGTGTGAAAAAAAAATATCAAGCGAATTCCTTTAGACAAAATATGTTCGCTAAACTTCCGCGATCTAATTGCATTACTCATTTTTGTAGCAAAAGT